AAAGTGACATACAGTATCTTAAGATATTGAAACATGTATACAGTACTGTACTCTGATCTACTGTATTGTACTTGTAAGTTTGACATCAGCTACTAGATAATGTCACCAGGATCACCACTTCACTTCCAGCTTACCTCAACACCCTGAAAGGAGGAAGGGCAGATGCAGAATTGCTTGATCCAAATTCATTTATAAAATGGATCTCATGAAATCCCACAACTGTGTACTGTCAATACCTATGACATAGTGGTATGAACCACCCACCCCAAATCATGCATGATGTGTGCAAAAAGACCCAATAGTGCTTTACCAAGCACATCCTGTATAAAAAAGCAGCAAAAGCATATCATTTTAAAGGCAACATTAGACATTTTTCAATGACACGAGTTGATGAATGGTCGTGAGAAAGAGACCTTTGCACACACCTCTCAGTTGTATCTTATTATTTATTTCATCTATATTTATATACTGTATACAGTACAGTAACACATCTCCCCTTAATTCATTGTTTCTTATGGGAAAATTTCTTTCACATATTGCAATCACACACAAAGAAGGGATTTTCAGAAATGGAACACCTACCCGGTATAGTAAATGAGGAATGCTGTACCTGAACCTCCATTTTCTTTTCAGTGGTAAGGCTTCCACCTGCTTCAAACCAATGAGTGGAGTAGAGAATTCCTGATTGATATTCTTTCAGCAAGTTATGCCTTTTGTCAATCATATTCAATATTGAAAAAAAAATACAACAACAGAACTGACATGCACCACCTATCAAGTTCACCTGTAATTAAGTGTATGTGACAAGAATTACTGAATATCATATCATCATAATACTACACACATACATACTAAAACATGTAAGCTTAGTAAAATTTTAAGTTTATAAATAGTTGCTCACTTACTGAATGGGTGAATTTTTAAAGCACACATGCAAGTTTATGACCCCAAGGGAAAACCAGCCTATTGGCAGTAATTGCATTACTTATAGTTCAACATTATGACTACTTATGATATACATATACAGCTGCTCCCCGACTTATGACGGGGTTAGGGACTGACATCCAGGTCGTAAGTCGAATGGTTGTGTTGGAAATGTTTAAATAACACATAGAAAATCTAAATTGGGGGTCTCTTTTTCTTCTCAGCACCACAAAACACTCACTTTTAAGCTTGCCAGCCATTTTAAAGTGAATTACAGATGAAAATTTTGTCTGTGTACTGAATTTGGGACTCAAAAATACGTAATTTGACCAAATTTTGGTACGACTGAAGCAGGTCGTAAGTGCAGGTGGACATAAGTCGAATAGGTCGTAAGTCGGGGAGGATATATATATATATATATATATATATGCAAGTAAATCACTGAAGGTGTGCATGATCTAGGTATATGCTGATAACCACAAGAAAAGAAGAAAACACGAAAGCGCTTGGGAACTTTGTGTATATCTGCACCTTTACACTATTATACAAAACAGTATAACATACCGGACCAAGAATTCTGAACAACACTTATTTACTAGGATGATTCTGTTAATTTCTCTGTATTAACTATACATGTTATACAGAATACATCATACCTGTCTTGGTTACATAATGCATCATACAATCAGAAGTACAGTACCAACCTTACCAAATTAATATGGCCTCAGTCAGTGATCTTTGTGAAGAACGTCAGACCCAGGGGGTGCAGAACTTTTTTTTGCGGACTGTACCTCAGATTTAGAAATGTAAGATATGAGTTTATTTTGCTGCAAATACAAATACAGTACCGATCAAATGCCATCTAACTTTGGCTCACTGACAGACCCTCTGATGGATTCACAAATGCTATTAGCTTTCCAAAGATAATAAAAGTTTGTCAGTGGCAGAGATGATTAAACAAAACTATTCCTTTTTGTGGTCAGCTGGGAACTAAAAAGTTTTCAGTGAGCCAATTTGGATTTGCTCAAATTCATGGAGGGTAGAGCCAGTGTTATGATATGATAGTTGCTGATTAGTTAGACACTGGCTCAAAGCGGACTTCCAACCTTTTCCCCTTCATCCCTAAAATGAATGGAAGGCAACCTCCACCTAAGCTCCCCCTTCTCCTTCAAGGCAGACTGTGCAGTAGTAGGGGGTGGGGAATGAAAGGAGATAAGTTGGATAATGCTGGCAAACCCTAGTGGCCCATCCAAAGGGCTCATGGGTCCCCTAGTAAAGTGCCTCCTATTACAAGAACTGCTTGAGAAAGGGAGTTTTAAGCCCCAAAAGATCAGATTTAAGTGCATGTCAAAAAAATCTTATTTTGACTCGATGGGAACAATGTGCCTCTAAGATCCATCCTGAGGTGGTACATTACCTGGGAAAAGCCACTATGGTAAGAAGTAGATCAGAATTATGTAAAATAGGACCAATTCCAATGGCTACATCCTATTGTTCCCACTCAACAATCTAAGCCTGGAAAGCTGGCTTTCAAATTTCTTGTGAGATACCATTATGTTCAAATACTGCATATAAAGGAGCATATAATAAACTTTAAAACAACATACAGTACTCTATAACTTTCAAATTTAATGACTCCTGGGGCAAAATGCACAAAGTGGACTTCTAACATAGAACTTTCCTGATATTCCACAGCATTTAATTCCCTCTTAGCATACCATAATATCCTCTAATTTGCTTAGGGTCACATTCTGCATCTGGTATACTATACTGTATACTGTGTGACAGATAAGGTGATTTACACACTGGAAAATAAATGGTCACAGTGCCAGGCAGTATTGGTCCCATAATCAACTGACTAACTAATTGGGAACTTTGTTTGTTGAGACACAGTAAACATACTTGCAACAAAATATAAACCTATCTGAGTGTCTAAAATCTGAAGAAAATGGTTGTCCATCAAGTCAGAGTAGGTGCTGAGCAGAGCTATTTTAGGTGCTGATGTAACTAGACCTGAAGTAGTGATCCTAATGATATACCTGTACTATATTGGAGATGATGTAAACACGAGTGTGTCCATGTTTATACCTTCCAGATAAATTCTTCAGCCTTCTCCCTTTTTAGGGTTAAGGATACCTTCATGCTAATAGGTATCCTTAAGGAATATGGATTGATGTTCAATTTGAATCTATTTCTTAAATTCCAATGTTTGGATCCCAATTACACAAGTTGGGGCTCAGTGCTGTAAGGATTCTACCCCTAAATTTGCTGGCCATACAAAAGTGCTCAGTCTCAATGTACCATTTAGTTATAAAATTTAATTTTAGGAATTTCTGCATACCTTGTACAAAACGAAGACAATAATCATTAGCAATGGTGATTAAAATCTCAAAATATATTATAATAAAAATATATATTTCGTTCATTCCCTACTACAATGACTACAATTATACCTGGTTAATATATAAACAAGATTCAGTCCTCCTTTCACACTTATCTTTTATTGGCAATACAATGTATAATATAAAATAAATTTACAATATAATGCAATGGATATACAGTACAGCACTGTACTGTACCTCAACTGTTGTGTATTTTTCTCTGGACATATACAGTACAGTACATGTGTTCTGATACAGGTACACAGTATTATACTATGGGAGTGAACTGGGTACCGGTATAAAACATGTAATATTTGTTTCTCACATCTTTTGTACACTGTACTATATTTACATAAAAAAAAAACACATAGTCTTGTACGTATCCTATTATGTCCTTTATTTATGTGTTGTATGTTATACCGTATATACGTAGTAACTTTATAAGCAGCCTTCAAGCAACCAAGCACAATTGTGGAGCACCGTAACTGGGCAACTTTCTACTGTATTAACAAAACACAAGCCAGCCCTGTTCTTAGTACAGGTACTACTGTAATTTAATCCCATGTTGACCACACTCATCATTAACCATATTGTCATTAACTTCATAAGTTACAGTAATTGTATTCATGAGTAGCAATAAACTGATTTAGCAAACTCTTTCTTTTCAGTCTCATCATTCAATTATCCACATATTTAATACCTAAGGTATGAAACCTGACCTGTCTTAACCCCTTCACTAGGGGGACACCACTTTGATTTTATTTGTCTAGAGCCAGATGACTTTATTCAGCTGAGAGACAACACCATACATAGGATAGCTTTCCTCCATGGAACAGTTAAACCATACCATCTTAACTACAAACCCTCTTTTCTGGCTTTCTATATTTATCTAAAAAAGTTAAAAAATGAATGCAAATAATCATAGATAAAAAAAATAATATTTTTTCCTATCGAAATACATTACAGTAATACTTCATCAATTCACAATTATGAAATCAAATAAATTTTAACTTCAAATGTATGGTTAAATTTCTCATGGCACTCACTATACCTGTCTTGGTAGTTCTTCTCCCAGAAAGAAATCAAATTCATTGCATTGCTTGAAAGATTTTCTTTCTTGTAAAAATATATTGAACAATTAAATGCAACAAAAACATTTAATTCTTTATATTAAATACCTAGTGTAGAGAGTTTGAATTAAAATAAACATTCATTCAGTCATTCAACATACCTAATGATAAACACTATTTTTTCAATCAATGCTTTGAGCTTTTGTCTTATAAAAGAATGTACTATGAACAAGACATTGTAAAGGAGAAGGAGCACTCATATACAGTTAGTTATACAGTACAGTACTCCCTTATACTGTATACAGTACAGTACTTGTTTACAAATATGTACTGTAATCTTATTGAATGACCACCATCATTTATTGGCACGAATGAAATTCTTATCCATCCTCTTAAGTTAATAATATAAAAATTACCATATGATTGCTTTCATATACTATATATATATATATATATATATATATATATATATATATATATATATATATATATATATATATATATATATATATATATATATATATATATATATATATATATATATATATATATATATATATATATATATATATATATATATATATATATATATATATATATATATATATATATATATATATATATATATATATATATATATACTAATTATTCTGTTGCTAGTTACCATGATTGTAGGATATGCTATACAAATTGGTGACTGAGAGCTGTTTCAAAGCACTTTTCCTCATCTTCTTCATGTTGTCTAGCCATAACCTCAGAGGCACCTTCGACCAGGTTATCATCACCACTCAAGTGCCTCACAGCTGATCCAATCATACTACTTACCACTCCGACCAAGCCGACACCGTTAATCACAACAGCTTCTCCATCATCACTGCCATTTGTGCCATTATTTGCTTTGTCATCATTGCCATCATTCTGTAGTCAGGAAAACAACCATTATATTATTGCAGGAACTTAGCAAGCTTAATTATAATCCAATACCTGAACATAGTAAAATATACATGTACAGTGAAAGAATGAAGTACAGTACAGTATCTTCCCGGGGTTTTGACGAATACATCACAGAAAGGTTGGGCCATTCAACATATGCATGTGTGGAGCCCATAAACAGTTTGGGGTCGCCAGTAACACCATCACTGTGTTAAGTAGTCAGGTTTCATTATACTTTGACCAAGTGTGGGAAAATACAGTACAGTACTTCATTCTCTCACTACAGTACAGGGTATACATAAATAATAACCTCACATACTAATTCTGAGAAATCACAAAAGGAGATTCTGTTCCTCACCCAAATCCCATTATTTAATTTACTTCTTTTGATTACACCCTGCACTGTTACCTCTGCCCACCCCCCCCTCCATACCTTGTTGCCCCTGAAATTGTAACCTTTTCTGCACTTCTGAAACTACAGATATTAACTTTTTTAGTCCTATCATCCTATGGACATATAATAACTTGTACAATTGGGATCAGAATCCTGTGGATGTATGAGATAGGTCTGGATTTTTTTGCACACCATTTCAGATCTCCCAGAGTGGCCATTAGATATATAATGATGCCTTATGTCACCAGCAGTTATAATTTGCCCTCAGAAATTTCACAGAGGTTCAATTACCCTACAAACACCATGGTGGACGGACAATTGAGGTGTGTACTACCAGTGTGAACAAAGTGCCACTATGATCAAATTCGAGATATATTCACAAAAGGTTAGGGAAACCACCCCTGGAAGTGTCAATATCGTTGATTTTGCTCTTAAATAAAACTATCCACGCGTCACTATGTGCTGGACTGGAGGCAGAACACAGAGAGGAAAGTGGCAGAGATCTCTATTTTTTTCTTCCTCTGGCGTTTTGTTCACTCTGGTCGTATGCGTCTTAATTATCAGAATGCACATCTGGCAGCATCTGGTAAATGCAAACTTCAAATATAAATACAGATACATGACATTATGGGAAAAAATAAAAGCAAATTTGATGGAAAGCAGTGATACAGTATAGAGAAATGTGATGATGATGAAGTTAAGCTTGAGTATAATTAAACAACCTCTCAGCTCAGAGATCTTGGGAAGACATAGTGGCCGAATTATTGTACCACTGAGTTAACATAAAGGGATTGCAGCTGCTTATCAAGGCTTTTCTCTTTTTTTATATTAATGAATTTTACAATTTTATTTTATATATTTGTAAGATTAATTGACAGTATTTATCATTTTGATTTTTCAAAATAATTTTAGGTTAGGGGGCAAAAATATATCAAACTAAGGAGTGAAAAGGTTAAAAACAGTGTTCTTTGTAAAACATCAGTGACGTAACCTATCAGTCTGCCCTTAGGTCATACTGTATAATGAAACTGAAAAGGAATTCTTGTTGACTTGCAAATTGGGAGAAAACCTCAAAGCTGCTATTGATAATGATTATCTGAATGGATCTATAGATCCCTAAAGACCTGAAGGTAATCTAACTGGTTAATCCTTCTATTTCCTTGTACAATTTAACAGTTGATAGAAAAACTAAAGATGACAGAACCCAATACAGTATAATGATCTCCTAACTGCCAAATCAGCTAATTGGACATACTACCTGCAACTAAACCATGGACCACTCTCCACCACAAGGTTGGCCTCTTAAAGCGATCCAAAAAGGGGCCAAAGACAGCCTTCTGTAAAATGCACCACAAACACCTGCCTTTAATTCCTACTACCTGTACCTATATACAGATATTCTTCTATTTAAGAACTTTTGATATCTGAAATTTCACATTATCAAAATTGACAAATTTTAGACTTTTTCAAAATACTGTACTGTACCTAAACAACTTTCATGTTCACTAAATCCCCCACAGGTACAAAGTATACAGCCACACTGGATATTATGTAAGGTACACATACTGTACAATAATAATACTGTACAGTAAACCCTCGAAGATCCAGATCAGGGAAATCCGGATTTTGGAAGATCCGGACAAAAAATATAGGGGTTCTGGGCAAAGAAGCCTTATAGAAGCTACCGTAAGAAACATTTCCAAACCAGAGCAAAGAATACTTTAGGCCCGTGGGTGCTGCTTGACCCGTCAGTTGCTTGGACACAAGTGCCCGAGGAGGTGGGAAACATAAACAGAGTTGACAATTGTTGTTTGTGGGAATATTATTTCATTCACTACAATGTTTCTTATTTTGTTATCATAGGTAAATGCATGGTTTATATACTACAGTAATTTGTTTATCACTACATTGGTACTGTATTTTTGGTGTTTCTTATATAATTTACTATTCGTCGGAAAATTCGGACAATCGGCTTTTCCGGACAGGTGGTCCCCCCTTTAGTCCGGAACTTCGAGGGTTCACTGTACCTGTATTGTACAGTATTCCCCTCCAGCACATTTTACTATAAATATTAACATTATTTTGCAAATTACTATTTTCAGTGCGGACTCACCAGATAGTCTTTAATTATTCTAGGAAGTTGCAACCTTGCCTTGCCATCTGTTTCCACTCAGTGGATTGGTAGTAAGAAGGGCATTCAGCCATAAAACTTTGCTCCAATATGCCTGATGGCAACTGAGACACCAGAGCTGTGTTCTTTCCCTGTTACATTTTCTGGGCTGGCATGCTGCATATTTACAGTGGGTGCCAGGAGAGCATTTCACAGGCTGGCTATTCCACTTGACAGTACAGAAGCCCAACTCAGAGAGGTTACTCCGTCATTAAATATTTAATACTGCGGCCAACTAGTTGTGGTGGGACACCCTGAGGCCACTAGGTGTGCCAGTATCTGCATTTGCAATGCTGGGGGATATCATGTTTGGGTTGTTAATAAACTTTATCAATTACAACTAAACAACCAAAGAACTCGTGTAAGCTTGTCATACAAAATCACCCATACAGTGTACAAATGATTGTTGTAGGAAACTGTGTGTGATCAAAGTGAAGAAACCTGACGAGGTTGGGTTCAGAACTGGGAGTCCGAATATTGGTACAATGTGAGGAAGAGAGGATGAAATTGTGGCAACACTGAGCCATGTACATGAAACCAGATGGAAAGGTGGTTTAGCAAGGCTGATCACTGACAAGAATTACAGGTACAAAATCCATTGGAAGGACAATGAATATGGGACAGGTGGTGTAGGGGTCTTGATTTCTGAAATGTGGATGGAGAAAGTACCAAAGGTGAAAAGGATGAATGTGAGAATTAGTGTTCTGAAGTTACAGGTAGGCAAGAATATGATGACTGTTATACCCTACATGTACGGAAGAGAGGAACAAGTTAGTTGATGCATGGTAACAAATCTATCCTCCAAGAATTGCTCAAAAATATTAAAATAAAAGACTGATGCAGAAAACATTGAGCTGGCTGAGAGACCTCTGATCATCAGGCAGCATGACTCAGAACTGAGATGCTTAAACCTAAAGCCTATTACATGGTGCACACAGGGTCACAGGACAATGCAAAATGGCGTAGCAGTAAAGAGACAGAGATGTCAACTTTGACAACTGGGTCTTCCTCATTACCTCATAATTATAGGGACTGCAGTTAAACTGAGAGCCTAACTAGTTTTACTGGAATTCTGTAGTGCAGCCAAGTTGTTTAGATGAATAACTCCTGGAAGCTCTTAGGGTCACCTCTCAAGCTTGATGATGTAGTACTGTACTGTACTGTACTGGTACTTAAATTATCTGATCTACTGTCAGTTATAGACATTTGCTTTTTTAATGTACCAGGAGTAAAGGAACCAGCAGCCAGTAGAAGGAGAGTAGGCACATCCCTAGCAAAGCATTTTCAGAGTATCTGAAGGCCTGAACTTAAATTTTTACTTAGATTTTGCTTCTATTAATTAGGCATATTAGGATTTTCATTGACTCAGACCATAAAACAGGAAAAGGCCAAATACATGGTCAAATTTGCTGTGTTAAGTTCTAATGAGACTTATGAATTAAACTGACTCCAATCATAACAGAGGCCAACAAAATGGTCATATGTAGAGTCCATAGAGCTATTTACAGTACAGCATAACATGTCTTAAATTTGGTCTCGGCAAAATCAGGGCAGGTGGAAAATTGGTTTTAAAAGCAAAATTGCATCAATGATGTGTAATGTCACCACTGTCATTAAATACACTGTGAGCCCCTTAAATAAACTATGGCCACCTCTGTGAGTCCCTACATAACTACAGCATACCTATACTGTATATACTGTATAGCACTGTAGAGTACAGTAATATACAGTACACCTGTACTGTACTGTATGCAGGCAACCCCACATTATGGAAGAGATGTGTTCTTCAAAAAATTTCAATAACTTGAAATTCTGTAACAAGAAACCAATTTTCCCATTACAGTACAGTACCTGTACTTGTATATGATAGGAATTGACTTGCCATGGAAAATTTTTTTGGCCAGACAAAATAAAAAAGTTACAAATGAAATTGACCTTTTTTAACATATTTAATGTAAACTTGAATACTGTACTTAATGATACTATTTGATAATAAAAAAAAAAAATACTGGAATTAAACTCACCAGAAATGCATGGCAGCAAATGCCTTGCTGCAGTTAACTGATTTATGATAAAATTTCATCTACTGTGATGCTCCAAAAGGCCAGGTTATACTCGACCATTACTTCTAAAAATAATGGTTTCCTTCTCAGGACAGTGGAGAGTAGGTAAAAGGTTAAAGGTTACTGTGGGTCCCCTTGTGGTAGCACACTGTCACATAAATCAATGTCTGGGTGGTCTAAAAAAAGCTTTTACAATATACAAACTAAAGAGGTAAGTATACATACATTAATCCTACTGTACTATCAACAAAAATAAAGGAGAAAAATATTAGTGATGGCAGTACAAAGTGGGCTACAAAAATACCTGGGCTACAGGAGTCACACTGCAACCATTAAGGACCTGTTCGCAGTAGGTGGG